TGATTAATTTAATAATTACAAGTTTTATACATGTTTATGTAGACTTTTGTGAGCTGTTAATTTTAGTTTAAATTTTTTTCCTTAGATTGTATTATCATAAAATAGTTATGATGTTTCAAAATTGTCTACATTCAGGTAGTAATAAATATTTTTAAAACAGAATGTTCAATAATATGATGTATTATTTAACGGAGTGAATTTACTATGTAGACTTTTGTGACTAATTGTAGTTTCGTTGTGGAAAATTTATGACATTTTCTGATTTCTAGTGACATTTTCAGTAATTCGATGATTGAGGTTAAGAAACGAATATATACCGGGTGTTTAATTTAAAATGACATACTTAAATGACATGCTTATATCTCAAAAACAAAAACTCAAATCGAAACAAGTTTCAAGTAAACATTTTTTGGTGAGAAGGACACATTGCACAGATGAACAGAAATTTCAGGGTTGCCTAAAGGCCCTTCTGACGTCATTTTTATTTTTTCAAATGGCACATATACTTTTTTCTTTCAACGTGTTGAACAACTTGACAAACTGATTATTTTTTCCTTAAAAAATTTTTTTCTTAAACTCTCCGTTGTGAAGATAAAAACAAAAAAAAATAAAATAACATGTTTCAAAATGTAATATGTGCGCTAACTTGCACATGGGATAAAAATTTCAAGCGAAAAAATCATTGTGATCAAAGCAAAAATGGAGCAATTCTTTACTCCACAGAAAATTCAGATGGTGTTAGCTTACGGTGAAAGTCGTGAAAATTTCGCTGAGGCCCATCGCATTTATGTTCGAAAATTTCCTGGAGAAAGAGCGCCTTGTCCTAAAACTTTATATCGAATAGTTACAAAATTTCTGGAATGTGGTAACGTGGAGGAAAAAAAAGACGAACACGTGCAAGATCGGTTACGAATGAACAGAATCAAATAGCTGTTTTAGCAGCTGTAGATGTTAATCCTCATGTAAGTTGCCGTCAATTGTCAAAAGATTCAGGCATTTCGTTAACGAGTGTACAGGTGTCCCAATTTCGATGTCCGCATAGGCTATCTCCGAAACTAAAAGAGATAGAACAAAAGTAACTTACATGTCATGATATCGTTTTTCGAGAAAATGATAATGGCGAAAACTCCGAACAGCTATCGTCTTTTGTTTTCGCCCTATCGGCAAAAACTGAAAATGTTGCGAAAACGACATTCGCGAATATCTCACTTATTATCAAAGATGGAGTATTATAAATAAAACATTATATGGGCAACTTTTTACGAAGAATTCAGTGGCGTAGGTAGAATTTTCTTCCCATCTTTTATTTTCGAGATTTTAGACGTAACTTTATTTTTTTTAATGGAAACCATAGTTGGCTATGACCCTATGACCTAAAATAATTTATTATTTTCTTCTGATAACAAATATATATAGCTTATGGAGTATATTTCTTATAGTTATTGAATAATTAACAAAAATTCATTTTGTTCTATCTAAAACTAATGTATGTATTTAAAAGTTAATGTTGCTATGATGATAACCATATATACTATGATGTCATATAATGTATCAAATAATTGCTTAAGTTTGTATTTAAAAATTCGATAACAACTCTGGCATTATGTGCTGGTACGAAGCACCAGCATGTTAAGTATCAAAGTATAACAAAACTGAATAAAACTTTACAATGAATTTCGAAAATTATGAAAAATGTAACATGATGCTATATGTTATCAGATAAGAATGCGACGTTAGCCACGGAATTATATTTCATAAGGTAACCGGAAAGAAGACAACCGCACGTAAGAACCTTCGGCCGGTTAGCAGAAAATTTAATAGATTTTTGGTCCTTCCTCAAACCACGTGCAGAAACATACCAAAATGACCTGCAAGAGGATGAAGTCAATGTGTTGGCTTCACTTGCGATAAATCCATCAACATCTTGCAGAGAAATTGAACAAGACGTCTGACCCAAAAGCCGCTGCTCCCGAATATGAAAGAAAAATAAGTATAAACCATATTTACGTGCTGTCAATCTAAAATTAGAATTTTGTAGATGATATTTAGAAAAATTAAATAATCTGCTGTTTGTTCAAAATGTCATCTGGACCGATGAAGTCTCTGAGTGTTCAAAGAAGATTAGGGTTCAATGTATGGTGTGCCCTTTTAGATAATAGAATTTTGGCATATAGTATCTACTATAAAAACTTAAACTCAGGTAAATACTTCAATATATTAAGGCAGCACATTTAGCCTTTAGTCGACAATTTGCCATTAAATATGTCTTAAATGATATATTTTCAATATGACGGAATACCCGGAATATGACGGAATACACCAGCACATAATGCCAGAGTTGTTATTGAATTTTTAAATACAATTACAAACTTTAACAATAATTGGAAACAATGTTTTCCATCATGGTATGGTTATCACCATAACAATATTAAATTTTAAATACATACAATAGTTTTAGAAAGAACAAAAAAATTGATACATTATGTTCCATCATAGTATGTATGTATGGTTATAGATAGAACAAAATGAATTTTTGTTAATTATTCAATAACTATAAGAAATATACCCCACAAACTATATATATTTGTTATCAGAAGAAAATAACAAATTATTTTAAGTCACAACCAACTATAGTTTCTATTTAAAAAAATAAAGTTACGTTTAAAATCTCGAAAATAAAAGATGGGAAAAAAATTCTACCTACGCCACCGAATTCTTCGTAAAAAGTTGCCCATATAATGTTTTATTTATAGTACTCCATCCTTGATAATAAGTGAGATATTCGCGATTGTCGTTTTCGGAAAATTTTTAGTTGTTGCCGATAGGGCGAAAACAAAAGACGATAGCTGTTCGGAGTTTTCGGCATTAACATTTTCTCGAAAAACGAGATCATGACATGTAAGCTACTTTTTTTCTATCTCTTTTAGTTTCGGAGATAGTGTATGCGGACATCGAACTTGGGACACCTGTACATCGGATTTTGAAACTTTTCAGTTTCATCCGTATCATGTCTCTCTACACCAACAATTACATGGCGATGATTTCGAAAATCGTGTGCAATTTTGTACTTGGGCTATGGAAAAATTAAGATTGAATGAAACATTTTTCTTCAATGTACTATTTTCCTACGAATCCTCTTTCGCCAATCACGGCCAAGTAAATCGTCAAACATGCACTACTGGTCACATAAAAATCCTCGTTGGCTAAGACAAGTTGATCATCAAAAACCTTGGTCAGTTAATGTCTGGTGCGGCATTGTTGGCAATAAAATAATTAGCCCTTTTTTTATTGATGGCAATAAATTGCAGAAAGTATTGGAATTGTTTGTTGAACGATTTACCGGTTTTGTTGGAAGACCTTACTCTGGAGCGAAGACTTGCGCTATGGTATCAGCATGATGGATGTCCATCTCATTATGCTCTAGCCGCAAGAAAAGTTTTAGACGAAATGTTTCCTGAAAAATAGATAGGACGTAATGGACCGGTGAATTGGGCAGCTAGATCACCCGACTTAACTTCTCCCGATTTCTTTCTTTGGGGTTACCTCAAAGAGAAAGTTTACAACCAGGTTCCAACAACACCAAACGATATGGAAAACCGTATCTGAGCAGCTTGCGAATCAATAACTGAAGAAATGCTGGGCAATGTGCAGAGAACGTTTTCAATGAGAATTCAGAAATGTTTAGAAGTGAATGGTCATCATTTTGAGCATTTAATCGATGTCTAAAGGTAACTTTATAAATTTTAATCAATGTTCTAAGGTGATTTCGAAAATGAAGAAGAATTTTAGTACTATTTTACGATTAATTAAATTGTTTTTTTATGAATTAAATTTTTTTAATTACATTTAGAAAAACGTTTTTATTTTTCTTTTTGTAAATATCTTCATAACGCAGAATTTAAGAAAAAAATTTTTTAAGCAAAAAATACTTAGTCTGTCAAGTTGTTCAAGACGTTGGCGTTGAAAGAAAAAAGTATATGTGCGATTTGAAAAAATGAAAATGACGTCAGAAGGGCCTGTAGGCAACCCTGAAAAAAAATCTGCTCATGTGTACCCTGTGCCCTCCTTTTCACCAAAAAAGTGTATTCGATTCGAGTTTTGGTCTTCGAGATATAAGCATAAGTCATTTTAAACAAAACACCTGTATAAGTTTTTAAATACTATTGTAAAGAAGTACAATTTTATTGTAAATACGCGTTACAACCGAATGAAAGTAAGCAATTTGCAATTAAATTTCAATTATGTAAGTATAATTAGACAATTGACACTATTACCAACTTAAAAACAATTTAACAGTTATTAAAATCGATTTTTTTTGGCATTTATTTCCGATATGAATGTATTTTTTTCTTATCTTTGTTTCGCGACACAATTCGTACTGTATTGGGATTCATGGTGATATTTGGGATTCTCTGACACTGCAAATGATTTGGCTATGTTAACTACAGTAGTTGTCAGATGATTCTTGATCATTTTTTGCAAACTATGAACCATTATTGTTATTTTGTTTAAATAACTTTAGGTTGATAGCAGTAAATAACAATTTTTACTAAAGCAACATATATTTTAACACAATATATATCCAAATCGGAATATTTATAAAAATTGGGACAAGAAGTTTTTTAAATGATTTTTATCTTCTTTTAAGTTTATGTTTAAGTTTTAATCTGTTGTTTCTATCTACTTATTATTATTCAATTAGACCCGAATGAAGAATGTTGTTTATGTTCTTTTTATACGCGGTATAAAATACAATGATCTAAAAAACTCTTTTTTATTAAGAACTAAATAGAAATTATTATAATTGATTATAAAACTTCCGTATTTTTATATATTTTTTGGAAATTCCTTTCTAGTATTAAAATAAATAAACTAAAAATTCTGCGGTCAATTATTACGTTAATTCTAAAGTGACTCGAACGCTATCTGACAGGCGCAAAATAACTACATAAAACTGATGGAGACTCAATTTAGAGCTTTAGTATAATACCAACGTGAGAACAGCATCACCCTCAGGAGCTATTATAGTTCGGTAAATCCGGAGCGAAATCGTTTTTAACCGTTTTTCAAAAACAAACAAAAAGATCCTTTCAAGATGACGACTTTCTAAATTCTACAAAAAAAGTTGTAAATTACAAACAAGTTGAGGTCATACAGGTAAGTTTAAATCTTATAAAAAAATATTTTTTTTGATTAATTAAAATAATAAAATAACTTGCCTATTAAAACTAATTTTTAAATATTTTGGAATGGAAATTTTTCTTCGAATATTATATTCGTTTTGCATAAGAAACAAAATTGTTTGCTACCGTAACAAAACCAGTTCCACTTTAAAGACGCTTTTAGAACGCTAAATTGTTAACAAACACTTCGAACATTTGTGAAACTAATTATCGAGGGACGATTTCATTAAACACCAAATCATTTCGATGTGGTGGTGAACACTCCAGCCTTTAAAAATAAAAAAGAACTAACCATAATAATGGGATAGGAAAATATTGTATTATATTGTAACGTTGGGCGTCAATTCTCCTTCTCGAAAACCCTCGTTTCCATTGGTTCAACACATTTTAATTTGTTTTCTTTTCAAATTTACAACGTCTTAATAGTATCTTTTTACCTTCCATATAAATTTCTGGATTCAACCAGTTCATACAAAGTAATAATAATAATTTGCGTTGAATCATTTATGAAATGCATTATAGCCATGTGTTTTCATTATCTCTTCATGATGCAAATATATCAACTTTTTTAAACGTACAAAACAACAATTAGCAACATAAATACTATTTTTAAATAGAAATCATGTTACATCAGAGTCAAACAAAAATCAAACAATTTCAATACAAAAATCTACGTTTTATTTGATCATTTTGTTAATCAAATTAGAAATTTCACCGTCATCACTTTTAAAATGGCCCAAAAACGCATTCGCCCCAATTGGATACGGTCCAAGAACAATTTGTGATGACCGCACAAGTCAATTATCGTCAAATAATTTCGTTTTTTAAGTTTGTTACTTTGAAATTCGATGCAATTTTAAATTTCAAGATCGTTACTCTAAATTAATTCGGCACATTTAATTCGGTTATTTTGAATGACGGTTTTTTATTTATGTTGTTGTGTTGTACCTGAAGCTTTAAGCGGATGATGAATGAAAATTTGTTGAATGAAACGTACCGATTTTATAATTGATATAAACGGTACATGTTTGAAAATAATCCGATTTAACAATGAAAGTACGATTATTTTATTTTCAATTTATATAGTATAAAACTATTTTTGTTTTGAAAGAAGAGTATTATTATTTTTGAATATTACAATGCTATTTTCTAATTCCTTTTTTAGTTTGTATATGAGGCATACAAAGTATACACAAATAGTTTAAGAGCTGTGTTAAAATCATTTACTGCAGAAATCGAGTATTTTTCTCTAGCGTATGTACCAGAAACCTAACATGAGCCTTAATCTAATGTTAACTAACGAATAGTTAGTTACTTAGATTTGTTATTTACTTGTTTACTTTTGAAACTTTGTATAAAAAACGGCAAACGTATAAAACAATCAAATAGAAACAAATATAAATAGATCTTAATAATAGATGATGTTAGAAATAAAAGTGAAGCGAGAAACTTGTGGGTTATGCCGTGCGTCTATTAAAATACTGTTTGACATTTTAAATGCAACGTTGCAACTTTTATTTTCATTAGCTTCACTTTAATAACACTGGTGGAAACCTACAAATTTCTGGAAAATGTACTTTCCAAACGAGAAGTACATCACCAGACGAGGAAGAATACTGCGGTAAATGTGCCAAATATTAATTTTAGTCAGTAATTCCAGTCTAAGTTTTTATTATGACATGTGGTGTTTCAGGCTATTTATTTTTTGAGTAATATTTTGTAATGCATAATGCATTACGGGAGTTATGAAAATTCGTCAAAGATTGATTCCTTTCTATGATCTCTAAGTTAATACGATAAATTGGAAAATAAAGATTTGAAAGTATGGATGGTTATATTAGTGAACAAAAGACATACCACTTATTAAGTATTTATCTCTAACTCGATTTGACATGAACACTACAAAAGGAAAAAAACTTTCACTAGTTTTTCTTACTTTTGATCTGCAGACACTGAAAACCTGACCCCAGAAACAATACGATTTTGAGTGATGGGTCAAAATGTGATAAAAACTTGCAAGGATTAAGACAATTAATGGACTACGAGATAAGAGAACTGCAGAAAAGACAAGAACTATCAACATGGATTAAAGTCCAGGAGGCTGAGGTGGTTGGTTGTGGTGTGGAAAATGTCGGCAGAGAGAGTTGGGTGCAGGGTACTCAAACACCGCGTGATGAATGGTATATGGAGTTTTAGGGGGGATTTGAGCGCTCTGCAGGTGCAGAACTCAGCCCAAAATCGAGACGAATGGAGGCGTGTTGTAAATGAGGCCAAGACTCACAATGGGCTGTAGTGCAATAGCATGAAAAGGTACTGCAGAGGCAAGAACGAAAATGGAGAAAGAAACAAGGGGGCTGGTAATAGAAGGAAGAGACTGGTCAGAGACTGGAAAGAGGATAAAAGCTGCGGATGCATAGGGGGAAGATCAAAAAGAAACTGTAATGACAACTGTAAGAAACTGAATATATGTGTGTGTGTGTAGCCTGAAAAGGTACTGCAGAGGCAAGAACGAAAATGGAGAAAGAGAAAAGGGGGTTGGTAATAGAAGAAAGAGACTGGTCAGAGACTGGAAAGAGGATAAAAGCTGCGGATGCACAGGAGGAAGACCAGAAAAAAACTGTAATGACAACTGTAAGAAACTACTAATAGAAGAAAGAAACTGGAAATACGAAAAAAGCGTTCGATATATAGAAAGAAAACTGAAAAGAAGTTGTAAAGGAAAAACATGACTTGAAAGAGTAGTGGAATGCTGGAAATAGACTGGTAATTGAAAAAAGAGACTGGATTGAGAAGAGATAGACTGGAAAGGTACTGCAAATCCAAGGAACTAGAGAAAGAGAACAGGAAACTGGTGATGAAAAAAATAAACTGAACAGAGACTAGAAAGGCGAAAATAGCTCTGAATACATAGGAAAAATACTTGAAGGGAGCTGTACACACAAGAAAGGAACTTGACATAATGGTGTAAGGGTGATGAATGATAATAGAAGGAAGAAACTGGACTGAGAACAGGGTAACTGGAAAGAATCTACAAAGGTAAAAAAAGCGAAGAGGAAGACAAGTAGTACAAGAAAGGGATAGGAAAGAAACTGTAAAGACAAGGAAATGACTTGACAGAGTAATCGAAGACTGGATAGACTACTAATAGAAGAAACAGTGTGCACAGTGACTGGAAAAAATGAAAAAAAAGCTCTGAATACAAAGGAGGAAGACTGAAAAGAAACTGACGGAAAGAAAGAGACTTATCGGAGTAATAGAAGAAATCCATGTTGCGAGTTAATAATTTACTGAAATTGGAAAAATAAAACTTCTTACTTGCTTTTTATTAATTATTACATAGGAAGAAGTCTGGAAAGAAGTTGATAGAGTGGTGGAAGGTTGGAAGAAGACTAGTAATAAGGGGTATAACCTGAATAGAGACTCAACGGATGGAAAAAGCTCTGTATGAATACTGGAAAAAAACTGTAAAGGCGAGAATATGATTTGACAGAGTAATGAAAGTCTGGAAACAGACTTATAATAGAAAAGAGGGGCTGAACAGAGACTACAAAGAGGAAACAAACTGTGGGTACGTAGGAAGAAGACTGAAAAGGAACTGTACAGACAAGAAAGGAACTTGACAGTGGTGAAAGTTTGGTAATGGAAGGAAATGACTGGACTGAGAAGACGGGGACTGAAAAGGGTATACAAAAGTAATAAAGAACCTAAATGAAGGGAAGAGATAGAAACTGTGATTTAGCTCAGAAGTCTGTTAATAAATTACCTATGTTCTAAAGAAAGTCAAAAATGTGATATTAATAAGAATTGATTTTGTCGACAAAATGTGCGTGCGACATGGAAACAAAATGAAAAAAAGTAGAAAAATTTACATCTTCGACAAATAATTGGAGAATTTCTTTCTATTGCAAACAAAAACTACAGAAATGTGCATCTACCGATTAATTAGAAATTAAAGAAATTGTAACCAATATAATCAAAGATACATCAAAGATCAGGTTAAGTCAAGCAGTAATCTTGACATTTTCTTTGCTTATATGAGGGAAGTCTCGACCACTTCTAGTTATACAATTTTATTAAAATTATATATATATCATAGTATTTTATAATTTTATTTAGAAACGGTATTATCACTTTTTACTTATAAAAGTTGATATAAATTAATAGTTTAATAGTCCTCTAAAACTGGAGAATCTTTTATATTAACTTTATTTTGATGATTTTTTTAAGAACGTCCTGTATTTAATGCAAGTTTGTAAAGATGTTTTGCAACTCCGCAGTTTTCTTAACAAATCGCCTTTTTGTTTGTGTAGGAATACTTTTAACGTTTGTCGCCTTTTATATCAGCTTTCGAATTGAAATAAGTATTATCATGCTTATAAACAATATTTTATTGTTACTTCAAACCATTTTTGTACAAAAATAATACAGATTTATTCGTCATTCGAAACAGTTTTTTTTTTGTGTGTGAAGTGATGAAATTGGCGAATTTGTTTATATTATCAGATTTGTTTTGACTCTTTGAATTTATTTTTGGTAAGTTTAATGTCTTTTTTTGTTTTGAAACGAAAGTAAATCGAGATTATTCATCAACAAAAAAACTTTCTAAAAATATCATTTCATTTTGATCTTTATTAAAAGAGATTTTATCTAAAATATTTATTGTTATAAGTGCTTTTGAAAATTAAATAATTAAGTATTTACGAAAATATTCCACCACTTATGTTTTTTTAAAGTTTATTTTAATAGGTACCAATTAAAAAAAATATTTATGAAATTAGTCTAGGTTAGTATTCTCCAATTAAATCTACATTGATCCACTTTAAACCAATTTATCTTCGAGAACTTCTCCAATTGATTCTACCTGTGAGAAAATGACGTATAATTTTTTTTAAATAAATTTGGTGTCCCTATCTATTTATACACATCATCACTTTTTTTCATAACTTATTATTGATTTTTTTTTTGATAATCGCTACAATTGATTGAAAGTAAACAAAAAAGAGCGCTAAATATTTTATTATCGCGGTGATTATCAAGATAAGGTAAGTATTTCCTCGATGATGTTCTGAGATACATAAATTCTATTATCATTATGTTTTAATCGTTTGACGATTATCACCTAGTGTCGTTTGTTTGCAGACTTTAAAGGGTTTATACAGGAATGTTATTATCGCCGTGAACATCAGTTTTTTTATCTATTTCTACGTATTTGCGTGTTTTAAAATTTTTATTGTATTTGTGGATTTACATATGGTTCGTATTATTTTATTCCCTTTTTAAATCAAAACTTATTTTTTAACAATGTATTTTGCCTAAAACTTTGAATTAAATCAACTTTTTTTACTACTACTTTTTTTACTACTTTTTTAATTACTACTATAAGACGAACGCTTTCAGGGTTGGTATTAATTGAACTAAAACTACAACTAATGTCAACACTATCACTAGAACTAACACTAGATAGAGAACTAGAAACTATCGGGTTTTGAAAAAGTATTTGACGTTTCGGATGCAACCTTCTTTAGAAATAAGATCAAAGTAACAAATGAGTTTATCCCAATTTTTTGCAATATCTTTGTAAAGGTTATGTTCCATGTTATTGGCGCCTGTATTGTTAGTGTATACTTTTCCTATTCCAGTTTCCTTGTTCTCATAATCTTGCGGTATTTCTATGTAAACATCATCTTCTAGAGTTCCGTATAAAAATGCGGATTTTATATCAAACTTGGCTATATGACTAGTTTGAGCTGCTGCTATCGCAAACAAAGGTCTTGTTGCACTTCGGTGTATTGCTACTCTATATAATTCGTCAATTGATTTGATTTCTTGTTAAAAACTTTTAACCACTAACCTAGCTTTAAAAATTCCATCTTCTTTGATTTTAAAGATTCACTTCTAGATACATACTAATTTCCAACCATTTTCTTTCAGTGACTTTTTTCTTCTTCTATAGTCTTTTTCCATTTCTCTGTGTGTTTATCATTTAGTGCATTTTCGTTAAGTTTAAGTTAAATACACGTATTTCTTTAATTTTCCGGTGTCTTAGAACAACAATGAGTAGGGATGAACACGCAAATATTTTGTCGGAAGATAATGCCATGGTGGCTGGAACACTATAGAAGTTAATTTGTAAAGGTGAGAATAACAGCGTCCCACACACAACAAAATATTAATGGTAATAAAGATAAAGAGAAACAACAATGCTCCGGGAGCGGATGGAATGATCGCTGAATTAATCAAAAACGGAAGAGATAATGCTGAGCAGGCCTTACGGGAACTAATAAAGAATAAATTAGGAAGAAAGCAGCCTCCTCAAGCATGGAATCTAGGAACTATCACGCTCCGGTACTCTATATATAAGTTACTATCGAACGTTATATGTGAAGCCATACGCAGAACGAGTGATGGGTAACTATCTGTGCGGTTTCTGCAGCCAAAAGTCAACCACTTACCAAAGATTCCTCCTTAGGCAGTTACTGGAAGAAATATAACATAGAAACGTACAATTTATTTGTGAACTTTGAAGGTGATTATGATAGTATCTCGAGGATATATCCCACCTTATTTCATTAATCAGAGAAACGCCCAAGGTGGAGGGTGTAGTTAGGGTATAGAATAAACCTACGCAACCATCAGAAATAAGTGCCTGCGACAGGGTGGCCCTCTATCATGTATCTTGTTCACATCGTAATCGAGAAAATCATAATAGATTCGAGAGTTAACATAAGTCGGACTTAAGTGTTCAGATCTTGGCCTTCGTGGATGACGTTGACATAACTGATACGACCAAGAATTTTGTGCGTGTGAATTTTTAAGGTTATGTTTACTAAACTAAAAGTTTCCTCCCACTTCCCCACCACTATTTAAAACAAGTAGAGGTGGGAACGAGGGCAGTAAGTATTGATATCAAGCGATTGGGAAAGTAGTTTTTTACGGATCGTCTTTTTTAATCGCGCGGTAGAAGCCTTTAATGTCATTGAACGAGCGGTGACGAAAAGTGGACTAAAGGTAAACCAAGGAAATTTTAGCAATATGACAGCTGCAAAATGTAACGAGAAATTTTATTTCTGAAACATTGGTTCTCCTTGTGGATGTCCTTTTTGCATATTCCATAGTATGTTTTCTTTTTACAATTCCTTGCGATGTGTCTCTTTTCACCACATTTGCAAACAAATTTCATCATTAATTTTTTTTCTTTACGTATCTTTTGTTTTATGTTGGCCTTGAAGTCTACTTGCTCCATTGAATTTTCAGCTTTTGTTCGCATTTCCTCTCATTTAGTAATCCTGCTGTTAACCCATTTAGTCCCACTGGTGTGAAAACGCACTAGCGTTTTTAAAAATATTTTACAGCCATATATTTCCAGATTTGAAGGTGCTAGCTGTTTGTACGATAACACTATAAGGTTGTTAGGCTATACATATCAAAATATTTCATAATTTTTGCTATTTAAACCATATTTGCATCAATTCTTTTCTATTGAAAATTTCTGTTCAAAATATACAATGGAAATAAAACTATTTTTAGTGCACAAAATTCTTTAAAATTTTGACATTTGCAAGTTTTTAGTGCATACTTTCCTCACATATATCTTGAAACGCGAAATAAAAATTTGAATTCTTAAAATACGACTTGAAACATTAATGGTGCAAAAACACACCATTGGGATGTATGATGAGATATAAGGATTACATCATCTTTCGTATTATCAGAAACCAGTTTAGACGCATTTATTCGGTGAATTCCCTAGAAATGGTCGTTTATGGACATAGTGCGTCAATGTAGTGTACTAAGTTTAGCGTTCATTTACATGAAGAGTGCTTTGCGAAGTATCACAATAAGTGATTATACTGTTCATCCCATTGGTGCGTTTTTACACCAATTTTAGTATAAATATTTTTTATATTAAACTTCATACTAAAGTTGGTATTTGTTAGTGTTATGTTGTATCACTATTATTATTTATTTATGACTAATTTATTACTTTGTTAATAAATGATAATCAAAATATATTTGTATTGTTGTTCATTTATCTTACCAATGGTGCATTTTTGCACCATCTCATATTTCATAACACAATTTTTTTTTCAAACGCCCGTGTTATCTCAAGGAAAATTATAAAAAACCGATTTTTTTAAATATAAAGCAGCGTAGGACTAAATGGGTTAATTTGGTGAACATTTTTTGTTCTTTTTTCGATGACTTCAATGCTCTTCTGAAGTGCTTATATTCCACCGTTAATATCGACGATAATTTTGTTATTTTCATGTCCTCACTTACAACTTATGTATTAAATTTCAAATTCTGCAACGTTACTTGTCATATCTACCACTTTTTGGTATTGCAATTGGTAAAACTACTTGTATTTTAGTTCATCTGTGCTTTGTCGGAACGATTTTTCAGCGATTCTTTTACACCCATTCTAATTTTTGTCTGCAATTATTACTATTTTCTACTTTTAGTAGAAAAGTGGTTAAACTATTAAAATGTTATGTATATATGTGTAGTTTCAGGTGAGGTTGGTTATACCACCTGTGGCTTAACCAACCACAGCACTTAGGCCCCAGCGGTCCCTTTGTACATCCTCACGGTTTACTTTGGCCATGTGTTTGTCTATTTTGGTACTAAAATGTTAATATCTATTTTTAAATTCATCCCACATTGATTTCCCAAGTTAAACATTAATGTAATTTTATGTTAAACCGCACTAATAAAATAAAAATAAATAGATATTTTAACTAAAACGAGAAATTTGCAATAAAAAAAGGATTAAAAAAACTTTTTTTTTTGTTTCAGAGAATGCAGTATATTTTATACTTACTTTTATATATTATTTTATTACCATCAACATCAACATTTTCTTTAAACGATTCTAACAACGAAGGAAAAACTTGGAAATGCGATTGTGACAACTCAACGGATCAGTTAAATCAATGCAGATGTTATGGAGATGGTTTAATTATTCCCGATGATTTAGGAAATAATTTTTCGAGTTTAGTAATTACTCATAGCGATATACAATCAATTAAACGAGATGATTTTCAACCATATAAACTATGGCTCGGTGAAGTGTAAGTTTATTGCATGATTGATTTAATATAATTAAATAATGTTGTGAGTTTCAACCTCACAATAAATTCTTTATAATTTTATTAAAATTAGGGAATTCGCAATTTACTTTAATAAGTGGTATTTCGGTTATTAGATATTTCACATACAGATATATGAAACATTATTTACGAACGAATGTATTAATTAGTAATTGATGCAATAAAAAGATTAATTAACGAATACTTTAGGAAGGGTCATTAAATCAACCCTTAAAAATCAGAGTTTATGACGTCAATAATGTTTACGAACATCGTCGCATAATTATCGTTGAAATTACTTGCAAAAACAGCTTTACATAATCGATATTTTTTCCCGTTTCGTTCCATCCTTCGGGATAACTCAATAAATTGAATATACGACCATTTCAGAATATTAAGTAATCTCCACGGATTACGAACGATCGAGAGTGGTTCATTCAGGGATATGCCAGAACTCAAGACTTTGTAAGAAAGAAAACTTTATAACTTTCATAATTATGTACGATTTATATATTTAAGGTACATCGTTGAAGCGCGACAGTTAAAATTTTTACCAGGACTTCTTGAAGGCGTCACATCAACGCGATTTTTCATTTTGTAAGTAAAGGTTTTATGTAACATTTTTTATTAAGGGGTTGAAAAAAGATGGACTCTTTTATGTGGGGAAGTGGTTTTATTGAATCGTTAATTTTTACGAATATGGTTTAATTCGGGTTGAGTGTCACCACTTTACGAGCTGTTCGGAATGATTTACAAATATTAAGAGAAGCTTTGTTTGTTATGTGTATACGTCGGCATTATTAGCTTAATCTCTTTAGCGAATTAATTATCAAATCTTGAATTAATTTGATTCGTTTTGTTTGTAGAAGAATAGCCCAAACTGGATTAATTGAAATTCCAGATTTATCTCACTTACACAACGATATTATATTACATTTAATGTAAGTACTTACTTCTTGTAGTAAAAAACGATATTTAGTGATTATTAATTTTAGTGATTTGGATAATAATAAAATTGAAAAGTTAGCGGCCAATTCCTTTAAAGTAAATGCCGAACAAGCGTAAGTATTATTAAAAAATAAATAATTTGTACAGGTAGATTTTCTTATATTGTCCACATTTTTTAACTTAGTCTTCATTAACCATTAAATTGATCCAGTTACGTATTTCTTATCCCACGAATATGATTTAATTTGAATTTTCTTCGGTATCTCCTCTCTAGGATAATCCACCAACTATTAGAACTATAATAACAATACTCTAATAGAATATGTAGAGAATATTAAGCATCTTGGATTTCATCTCAATTGTAAACTTAGTTGGCAAGTGCACTTTAACGCCACAATCAAAGCGTGCGTTGGAGACATTAATTTAATGTGTAATTAAATCTCTATCGAATTCTTGATGGAGGGTGATCCTGTAATATTATCTACGCTGTATAGAACGATCGTCAGATCTAAACTAGTATCTGGTCTATGGATACTGCTACCTATATCTAAAATAACAATTAACAAACTACAGGTAATGTATTTCGAGGCATATATATCAATACTTCGAGTATTTAGATCGTCAACACAAACGAAACAGGAGAAAGATCTTAAGTGTCACCAACTGTCCCGTCATAAACAGAGTAGATAAGATATCAGAAATCTTTACCTCGCGTTCGTTATCAAATCTCGTCCTCTAATCACAGAAATTTACAATAAACTGAAACCTACTATCCCAAATTTGTATTGAAAAGAGGCAAAATTCCATGAAAAGAGGTATATAGTATCAGAAAATTCTCACAGTCAATTGCATTCACTTCTGGATCATACGAAAGTCTTAAATCAGTTGGTGAAGTTAGTAACGTAATGGGAGGAGAAATAGTATATACACCAGAGATAAATGTCCAGATGTTCAACATATATACATGTACAGTTGGATCAGTGGTGAATGTTCCGAACAGAAGTGTCTAATGTATGCTATATGTACTCCTATAGAAGGGATAGAGGACTATTATTATCTACTTGATCAGTTATCTATATTTTCTGCCGAAGCATATGCAATACTTACAGCATTAACCATAGTGATGGATAGATATATGGTATTATATCCAAGCCGCTGACTATTACTAACTTCTGAGGTACATTGGAACGAATAAAAAAACTTTAATTTTATAACTAAATTACAGCACTATATACACGGTAAAAAATAACTAACTCTATTTTAAATCTAACATGTTTCCAGGAGGTCCATTCATTTTTCGAGTAAATATTTCAATCGGTTGTTAGAGCAAATTTTAGAGATTAAATGAATCTATGGTAAAGTGAATTATTAACTCTACGATGAATGAACACAGATTACATATTAAATCTCGGTAGAGTTGAAATTATAATCTACACAGATTTTACAATGCACTCGAAATTAGTGTTTGGTATATTCTTAATAGAATGCTACAATCTTCGTAGATTTAGCAATATACTCAAAATTAGATTTAGGTATATTCTAAATAGAGTTATATGAAAATAGACAGTGTTCACAAAATAGGTTTATTATTGTAAAAAACTGAACAATCGAATAAATAATTGCATTTATGCTGTCTTAAGATATACCAAGTCGCTATATTTAAGTAAGCGTACTGAAATTATAAAACTCAAATCATATGCAGGTGTCATTTTTAATGCAAACACTTAAACTACTAACACGAAAACTTAAACTAAAAAATAAATCTATATTTTAATACCAAATAAAAATCAGCCTCTAATTGTGTTTGCGCTAAATCGAACGGCTCCTTATACATCAGAAGATTTAAATCTATAATACTTAATTCTTGTTTAATAGGAAATTGTACTTTGAATGCATTTAAGATATCCACATACCGTTGAGAACAAACTGAACAGCACGCCTTGTTTTCACATCAACACGTGTTCAAGCAAGAAAGGTTGTGAACTTGTTAGGGCTTTTCTGGATTTAGAGTAACTTTCAACACTGTTAAGAGTTAAATTTTAACTCCGTGTTACTCAATGTTTAACATTAATCTACAACAGGAAACTTTAATCTATTAGAGTATATTGAAAAAATTATCTCTAATAGAGTTTATCCATAAGGAGAGTAAATAATAGAATAAAATTTACTCTAAAAAAGACACTCTATATTTTTAATCTGTACTCTAAAATTTTAAACCGGGATTATTTTTACCGTGTAACAGTGACCATAAAATTATTACATAAAATATGCCAATTAGACATAGAGGTTTCACTGATCTGGTTCCGGGGCATGTGGGAATTAAGGGCAACGAGAAGGCTTTTGGAATAAAGATCCACGCAAAAAAGTAATATCAACAAATTAAAAGGGAGTTAAACCGTATATGGGAACGAGAGTGGATCAGATCAAATTATATACGTTAGATGTCAACCGACAATACAAAAAAATCCTTGGTACAAAACGACTCCATTTGAGTCTCTCCAAAACCCCAAAACCTGACCAGTGGAACAAAACAATAACAACAAATAATCTAGAAATTGTTCAATCTAATTCGTGTTCTTTTTTTGATGTAATGCGGGATTTTTTTAATTTTTACTGCTGATTTTTATAATTCCAACAAAAATAAAATCCATTCATTATTTAATCAATTTTTCATTCGATTGCACAAAAAGTATGCGAGATGCACGCTCGTCCGCGTAGCCTTATCGTTGGCAATCTCTATTGTAGCGTTTCGGCTACAATTCTCTGGGTTGCCAATCAACGATAATGCTTCGTGGGCTAGGCACACAAATTACTATTTTATTCTAATTTTTTAATATTTATTTAAATTTTAGAACCTTAAACTACAATCAAATAACGACAATAGAAAATTTTGCATTCAATGGCTCGCAAATTGCAAATTTGTAAGTAATCCAATATTTGAAATCAAACATTTGAAAATAAAATTAATTTTAGAAATCTTAAAGGAAACATCAACCTAAAAGATCTCCACAAAAACTCTTTTGCGGGTTTAAAAAGTTTAAGGCGATTGTACGTATTGATTTCACCCAAAAGTTCGCCTATAGTTGTTTTCCTTTCATATTAAATGGCAATAGTTCTATTTTCTAGAGACCTCTCAGAAACGTCGATTAAAAGCCTTCCGGTGAACGGTTTAGAAGAGCTGGAGAAATTGAAAATCGCAAACACTCCAACTTTGAAAATTATTCCAAGTATCCATGATTTTCCGCATCTTCAAGAGGCTTATTTAACCCATCATTTTCATTGTTGTGCTTTTAAATACCCCGAACAGCACAATCCTGAACGTCACGCTCAATTTGAACAACAACTGCAAGAGCAATGTAAAGACGGCGTTCCTAAAAATGAAGATACCGATCCCAAGATACAACCTACTGTACGAAAAAAGCGATCAGCACTTGAAAATATTGGATTTTGGCACGATTCTTTGAGATCTCATCGTGAATCTGATTATTCAGATAGCGTAGAAGATGATTTGACATGGTTTACAGCAAATTTCAGCGATTTAAAACCTTTAAGAGGTAGTGCGATTGAAACGGAAGTTTATAAAGTTTCGGATGATCTTAATGATGACGTGGGAAATTTTCATAGTTCTTCAGTTGATGTATCAAATGGAAATCCGGTTTTAGTTTCATGTGGAAATCTTTATAAACGGTATATATAGCGTTCCTTTAAGTAATTTTTAAAAATCGTTATTTTTTAATATAGATCAAGTCCTGTTCATTGTTATCCAGAACCAAATGCTTTAAATCCTTGTGAAGACATCATGGGTTCATCATATCTTCGCATATCGGTATGGTTTGTAGTTATTCTCGCTGTAATGGGAAATTTAGCTGTGATAGTGGTTGTACTCTTCAGTGGCGGTGAAATAACAGTTTCACGATTCTTAATGAGTAACTTAGCGTTTGCTGATTTTTGTATGGGTTTATATTTACTGTTAATTGCGAGTATGGATTTTCATTCAGTTGGAAGTTATTTTAACTTCGCTTTTGATTGGCAATATGGTAAAAAATGTTAATAATTTTTTTAAATATTTATGCTATTTCTCTTGCTAGGAATTGGATGTCAAATGGCTGGGTTTTTAACAATGTTTGCGAGTCAACTTTCAATTTTTACACTTACCGTTTTAACCGTTGAAAGATGGTTTGCTATTGCTTATGCTATCTATTTAACGAGAAGGATACGATTAGGAGTTGCGGCTAAAATTATGGTTGCAGGATGGTTGTATTCGATATTAATGGCTGCTATACCGTTAATGGGTGTGAGCAATTACAGTAGCACAAGGTATTTTGATTTTTACAAATTATTTAATACATTTTAATATTTTTTTTTGTTTCAGTATTTGTCTACCAATGGAAGTAAACAGACCAATTGATAAAGCTTATTTAATCTCATTAATGATTATAAATGGATTAGCATTTACATTAATCGTTTTTTGTTACGCACAAATCTACTTCAGTCTCGGCTATGAAACAAGAAGATGTTCGACGAAAGGAGAAATGACGATTGCTAAAAAAATGGCTTTATTAGTATTTACTGATTTTGTATGTTGGGCACCAATTGCTTTCTTTGCATTAACAGCTTTAGCTGGTTATCCATTGATTGGAGTAACAAGGTCGAAAATTCTTTTGGTGTTTTTCTATCCATTAAATTCATGTGCAAATCCTTATTTGTACGCGATTATGACAGCACAATACAGAAAAGATTTTTTTTTGTTATTATACAGGTTTGTAAAAACAATTAAAATTTCCAACGAATCTCATGTTAGCCGTTTCCTTTTCAGATGTGGTATTTGTACAAATAAAGCTAAAAAATATGCTTTAAATTCTTCCATTCCAGTTACCAATCATACTCATCCATTACCATTATTAACTAGAAATAGTCAACATAGTATAAAAGCGAATACCAATGAAGACGTTTTTGTGTGAAAGTTAATTCTCATTTATATAACATAAGTATTATTATTTTTTTATAGTTTTTAATATTTATTTACAATTATTTACTTTTGAAATAAAATGTTTTATCTTCGACGATCTCATTATTAATAAATAAGTTAATGTTATTTATTATCCTTGGCCTAAAATAGACCTAATAACATTTCTCCGCGTTAGGATAACGGAAAATAATTCAACTTAATTTTTGATATAATTTCACTTATCATAAAATAATTGACGGAATCTAAAGTAGTAGCTAATAGATTTATGGTAACACTCCTGGAAAATCAACATCTATTAGTAAGTACAATGATTCTTCTGGATTCTTGGCAAAACTGCTGTCGTTCTTTTTTAGAATGTCATAGCTGTGTTTTTGGCTACGAGATAATAATGTAGATGTTAAGGCGTGAGGCCTCAGCAGCACTCTCCACTTCCTCGCAAAAACCTCACTAGGCTTGTCGCTTCTTTTGACGTACCAGACGTTTGAATGCTGACTGGTGTGTTTTAAACACAGTCCAGTCAGAATTCAGTCTAGTTTGTTTTGCTTTATTAAAAGTCTTCCTGCAAGTGACCCTTAGGGAATGGAGATCAGGAGTTCACCATGGTGTTGCCCTTCCTTTCTCTTCCACTGTTTTCTCAGGACATGCACTGTGGAAAGCCTGAATCAGTATGTCACCTACGAGATTCCAGTAACCCTCTAATCTCTAATTCATCGATATTCTCTTTTAATTCTTCTTTTTTTCGAGAGCATACTATCTGTGGTCAGACATAGACGCCTCCTGGGTGACACACTAGTCAAATCAATTATCGTTTGACACCTCGCATTGACGAACGTAGGTTCACAGCCTTGGTTAATTATTTCCAAGTCATTACTCGAAATAAATTCAATCCTCTAAAATTGCCTTCGTCGCATCCCCAACCTACAAAATAGAATGCGTCAGGATATTCTTGCAAACATTTAGCCGAAAGACCATTTTTATTTTATTTTTGAGCCTTAATCGTTAATGTGTATGGGTGAGTATTTTTTACTGTTGTAGAAAATTGACCATTATTTTTCAATATGTTAAAAATGTTTTCCGACCACCTAAGAGTAAAGATTTTTAGTGTGTTTATTTTATTTGTAAATAATTGGTACAGTACCTTTCGCGATTTGAAACAAAATGGAATACAAAAAACGCAAAAATATGTCTTAATTTGTCATAATACATTTTAACATTCTCGTAGATGATATCGATTCGTACAAAAGACAACTTTTCATTTCGATGAAATTTATTAGCAACATCTACGGCGGATTCACAAATATTCGATTCCAATAAACAAAAAAGAAATGGACATAAAACGTTTTTCGTAATTCTACCATCTGCTCCACCAATTTCTAAGACATCTTCATTTTCGTCCCATAGAAATAAATGATTGTACTTTGATAATAAATAGTATGACGACTTCTATGAACAAACAAGAACCAAGACAATCGTCGAATCTTTTTTAATAAAACTAAGTTTGACTGTCGTACCTCGGCTTCCCAGTGAAGATGGGGTAGGTTCGATTTATAAGGCGCCACGCAATTTTTACAACAGTACGCTCTAATTGCGAAGAGAGCTGGAAAGAAAAGGGTTGACAACACCAACATATAACAAAACACAAAGTAATCGCAAAATCATATACCATATAAAATCAAACTTATTAAAGAAGAAAAAAATAAAAATAGTAAAACAAAATATAAAGAAAATAATTTTTTTGTTTATTTTCGATCAGAGAATACGCTGATGAAGTATTGTACAATCGTTGCTGAACACTTGTATATTCGAGTTAAAAATCCGCACAGTACAAAGGCTGGCAATAAAAGAGGAAGAATTGACTAGTGCACGGATATTCAATCCCAAAATTATTCAAAAAAACTCGCTTTTAAAACCGCTCGTCACCAACATTTTAAAACCCACTCCCTCTATAATTGAATACACTAAATTAAAAAAAATAAATAAAAGGATAATGTGTTATAATAATGAGTCGCACATTTATGAATATAATATAGCTTTATTAACTATCAACTCTTTACAGTTCTTTTACAGCGAGTACACATACGAGTTGCTTGTTCACCCAGTGCTTATGCAACTTGTCGTACGTAAGGTAATTAACAAAACAGAATGATATATAATTTCTTGACTTCTTAACAATTATAGACGAGTTACCACCAGTATCATGGTGATTTAAACTTATCATGTTCCATTGCAAAGTTATACTGCTAACAGCAGCTTAAAATAAATCAATTTTATACTAAAAAAAAATCAATTCCATTTGTGACTTACCACTTCAAAAAACTGCTTTTTAAAACGATTCTTCTGAAACGAACTTTTTCGAAAAATATAACAAATATAACGCATAAACGCAAAGCAACAATAACATCCGATTAGCTGTTAAAAAATCTTTCGCAAATTTAAATTAACTTTCACAACATCTTAAAATAGGCAACCATTTTCCAAATGATTGTTCAAATTACACGTGTACTGGCCCGCGTACTAGTATTTTAATTATAACAAGAGAACCTCTCAACCGATTTTAATTAACAGTATCATATTCGAAAGCTTAATTCTTGGTCAATACGAAAGTGGGAATGCCCGATTCGAAATCTCTTTCGAATTTCACTCAAAAACCAAAATATTGCGAAAGTACACGAAGATACACAAAAATGCCCTTTTTTAGGTGATCATAACTCATAAACGATGTCAAGATCTATACGTCATTCAATTTGCCATAGTTTTTTCTATGTGGCTGAAGTTAGATTATATTCGAATCTGTACCAGATTCAGATTCATAAAATTACAGTTGACCAGACAAGTATTGAACATATCAATTGAAAAATCGTTTTCTGAAACTACAGAAGTTGTAGCAATTTGCGACTACGCTAGATAATTCGAATAGACCCTCTAGTATGTTCCCAGTCTACTCTCACCCCCAGATTTACGTAGAGGCAGAGTGATGAATATTTGAATACTCATCGATTTTAATAGCAAAGTTAAAAATTATTTTCTAATCAACTAAGGACTGCAGCACCCTGGGACTAGTCTAGGCTATTGCATTAGGTTCTCTGGCATCCTTCTAGCCCACCAGCACCCCCAGATTTGTCGTAGGGGCTGAAGGGTGAATTTTTTAATATTCCTCTTTTTCATTAGCAAATGTAAACATTATTTTCTCAATAACTAGAGACTGCAGCACCCTGGGACTAGTCTAGATTATTGCATTAGGTCCTCTGGTATCCTTCTAGCCCACCAGCACTCCCAGATTTGCCGTAGGGGCTGAAGGGTGATTTTTTTAATAGTCCTCGTTTTCAATAACAAATTTATTCATTATTTTCTCCATAACTAGAGACTGCAGCACCCTGGGACTAGATTATGCAATTATTATTTGCTATTGAAAACGAGGAATATTAAAAAATTCGCCCTGCGGCCCCTGCGACAAATCTGGGGATGGTGGTGGGCTAGAAAGATACCAGAGGACCTAATGCAATAATCTAGACTAGTCATAGGGTGCTGCAGTCTCTAGTTATTGAGAAAATAATGTTTAAATTAGATATTGAAAACGAGAAATATTAAAAAATTCGCCCTGCTGCCCCTGCGACAAATCTGGGGATGCTGGTGGGCTAGAAAGATACCAGAGGACCTAATGCAATAATCTACACTAGTCATAGGGTGCTGCAGTCTCTAGTTATTGAGAAAATAATGTTTAAATTAGATATTGAAAACGAGGAATATTAAAAAATTAACCGTTTAGCCCCTACGGGAAATCTGGTTGTGCTGGTGGGCTAGAGGGATGCTATTAAAGTACATCGTACTTACAATTCCTATTAGTACAGTAAAACCTCGACTTACGCGACCCCGTCTTACGCGTCCCCGTAGTTACATCCCTTATTCGTCAGTCAACTCTTTTAGATTTTATAAAGCCGTCGGAATCGACGCAATAATATACGTTTTAGTATTATTTATCTACGACTGCTTGGTTAAGTCATCATTGCCACACTCATTTGAGGTGATTTGAGTTACATAATGAAGTTCATTACCTGGTTTCATTACGTAACGCAATTTTAGCCCAATCAGAACAGATTTAATTAATTGAAACGAGCAACAAGAGAAAATACTATTATAAACATTAATTGTTATGTTTTTACATTTCGAAACACTTATTCCAGATGAGTAAACATGTTGTTGAAATGTTATATTTTTATAAAAGTTAAAATAGATATTTACTATTATAGATATTTTAAAGAAATTGATTTTTAAGTAATTTTTTGCATTATTATTAATATAATGTTATATATCACACATGGGCTAGGGTAGAGCATAATTACGGTACTCGTGTTATTACAATTGTCTACACTCGTACAGTAATTATGTTTCTAGCCCACTTGTAATATAAATAACTGTTAGTACCTTATATTTTTATTTTGCTTTTATTTTTTCGAGAAAACAAATTTATTAAAATTAGTACTAGTATTATTAGTATGTACACAATTTTTTTAAATAAATTAATGTTTATTAATCCTTGATTTTATAATATTTATTTATCGAATTTCCCACTTATCGCGTAACTACGGGGTATTACTGTATTATAAACATAAAAATATGATGTTTTTCGATATAATAATCATATTCAAACTGCTGTTTAATGGTTAAGATACTTTTCAGCAACAGGTAAAAAGTATGATTAGTTTGTAACCATCTGCACACCCAATTAAAAATAATTGTAACTATTTCATAAACGTTTTAGAACATTTTTATTTATGAAACCAAATACATTTATGTAAAAATTCAAGGTTTAGAACCAATTAAAGCTAAAACATTCTTATCATAGAAATAAGTCCCACTTTCATCGTGTTGTACACATTCTTCAATTTTCTTTAAGAAATCCTCAATGTAACTCGGTCGAATATCTTCAGGAACGTGTTTTAGAATGTTATTTGCTGCAAGTACTGTTGCTAAAAAGTAGTATGGATTAAATTGAGTTATTTAATTATTTTTGTGATACTACCAGATAAACTCTTGAATGATGGATAAACAGATTTAAGTTTATTCACTTCAG